TAATAAATTATTATTAGAATTATTAAATCAAAATTAATAACAAGGATATAATAGCGTTAATATCATATATGTATCAATATTTTAATTATATTATTATATTTTGCACAACACGTAGAGATTCGCCTAGTATGATTGTAGTTTGAAAATTTGAAGACATATTGATAAATATGTCCCCATAAACACTTCTGATGCCTATCTAAAAGTCCATTCTTGACCACCTGAGCACCAACAACCAACTTTTCTCTCATGAAACCTGCCCCGCCAATGATCCCCCACATAAATTCCTTGTGTTTTTTCAGTCTATTGGATAGTTTTGACTGGTTGGCTTTAGATCCTCGTTTTTATTAAAAAGGTGCCATTTTAATATGAGTAGAGTTTTTCAGTGATAGAGGGTGATTGCTTAACTAAATGAACACGGTGGAAGTCATAGAGGATAAAGATAGAAGAGAATGACATGCCAGATGAACATTGATGGAAGTTAGGGATGTCAACGGGGGCAAACGGGACGGGGATTGCATTCCCCGCCCCCACCCCCAAAATTTTCCTGTTCCCCCGCCCCCGTCCCCGCCCCCGAAAACTCTAGCCTCCCATCCCCGCCCCCACCCTCGAATCCCAGGATTACCCCCGACCCCGCCCCTGTTTCCCCGCCCCCATTTAGGTTAACTTTTTTTTTGGCAGACGAAGGTGATGTTTAGGCTAAAAGAAGTTATTTTTTGAGCTAAAAGAAACTATTTTGGATAAAAATAGTTTTTATAGCATAAGTTTATATATTTAAAATAAAAATATTATAACATCTTAAAAACGTTATACTATAAACTTAAAAACATGATATTTAATTGAATTTTGGAAGTTCAAATCATTGTTATTATTTATTATATTTTTATAATTAATATATATTAATATAAATAATATATTAACGGGGTCTCCATTGGGGGTTCGGGATAGGACTACCCACCCCCGCCCCCGCCCCCGAAACTAAAACGGGGGTTAACATTGCCCCCGCCCCCTGCCCCAATCCCCGATTTTTTAAACAAATACTCCCCATTCGGGATCGGGGCCCCACGGGTTCGAGGTCCCACGGGACTTTTTGACATCCCTAATGGAAGTGGTCAATGTCGAAGATGGAGGGTTGCGCCTGTAATGGAGGGTGGATGTAACAAGTATTTTCCAAGATGGATCAGAGTAGGGCATTAAGGAGGCAAAGACATGGTTTTTGGGAAAACCATGAGTCACGACGTAACCATAGGGAGGTCATGATGTAATAAGTCAAGAATGAAAACATGTATTTGTTGGCTAGTCACTGTATGGCATGTGTATGGTCACGACATGACAAGTGTATGGTTACGATGTGACATGGGCTGCAACCCAGGCCTAGGATCTTTTAGGGTTTTCTTCGTATTTAAGCCACCAATCTCAGATTTAGGGTTTCATTTTCCGGCCTTCAACACCCTTTATATATTTGATAACAACCTAATAGCATCCTATCCATTTGTGGGCTTATTCTTGGAGTATTGGTGTCCTTGGAAAGAAGAAGAAGATCCTTGTGGTGTTGAAGACCTCTTAGCAAGCTTGGAGTTTGAGTTTGAGCCATTTCTAGAGCATTGTAAGTATTTAAGATCCAAAGTTTATGATGTTAGCTTTTAGATCTTGGCTTATTGCTCCTTTTTCATCATATTATGGAAGTTTGGAAGGGAGGATTCCATAAAGTTGGCAAATTTATTGGTCCTTGTGGTCCTTTGAAGGTTGTATTTAGTGGATCTGAGATTTGGATGAGTTTTGATGTCATTCATGTGAGTGTCGTTTCATTTATTCTTCATTTTGACCTTTTATGAGATCAAGACATGCATTGGACATGCATGTCTATAAAGCATCGATTTTTATGATGTTTTTGGAGTAAGAAGGTCCTCTAGAAAATTGTAATGGATGGCCTTAAGGATTAAGGACTAAATGCATTAAGTGTCCTAATCTTGTAACATCTCGCTTTTACTAAGCAATTTTTTTGTTTTTAAGTCAATTAAAACCACCAATTATTCATTCCAAAACCCATCAAAGTGTGATAATCTATAAAATAGTTATTAGAGTACAAATCATATCATAATATATGGAACACTAGTGGATGCGATGTAATCACGTCGAGCTCTTCCATTTGGAACCGGAAATACCTGAAACATAAACATAAACCATAAGCATAAAGCTTAGTGAGTTCCCCTTAATACCGCATACAATACATACATATTAGCTCAAAGCTATAACGGGTCTATTTCTCCCTCGAGTCTATTTCAACTCAGTCAGTATTTTTCAACCGAACGGGTCTATTTCACCCCGAGTATATTTCAACTCAATCGATATTTTTCAACCAAACGGGTCTATTTCACCCTACATACATATAGCATATAGGCACACAACAAGAGTCACAAAGAAAATAGGAACATACGAAACCTAGTGTCTTACAATATAAAGAGAAACTTACCTCAATCGATAGTCAGGTAAACCTCACACTCGAGTTGCTGCTACAAAAGCTCCTCACACTAAACATATCCAAAACAACCCTAATTAGCAATTAAGGTAAATACACCAACTTAACAAGTCCAACCACCAAGATAAATCCTCATTTAGGCAAAAGACCATTTTACCCTTCTAAGTCCTCAACCCCTCATGGTTGATCAAAAGTCAAACTAGTCAAAAGGTCAACGAAAAGCCTTACATTTACTTATGCGCAGCGTATATATTACTCTACGCAAGGCATAAGGTCTTATCCAGAAAACGGGCTAAAATCGGGCTACGTTGGGCGTAGCCCAGATTATATCCCACGTACAGAGATGTTAATTCATTTTTACTTTAAGCTCTTAATTCGTAAAGACCAATCATCAAATGCTCATATATGGTCCCAATAAACATGTAGAGTGATAAAGTTTATAACTTTATACCTTTACATGGCTAAGTGGAGATCAAACTCAGTCCCTAGTTTCCTAACACCTTCTAATTCCCAAAAACTCTTGCATGGGTGAAATATAGCAACCAAGATCCAATTTTTATGACATGTGAACCTCATAATCAACAATAAATGACAACCATAAGCTTTGGAGTAGCTCTTACTCACAAGAACCAAAGTCATGGAACAAGAAGCATGCAAACCAACAAACTAACCTAGATATAACCCAATGAATCATAAAGGTGAGAACTTTATACCTTATGAAGTTGGAAAATGAGATGAAAGCTCTGGATCTTCAAGCTTGACCACACCAATACACAATCATAGACTTTTCCTTCTTTAAGTGCACCAAAAACACACAAAAAGGCTCAAGATTTGCTCTATGGGATTAGGGTTTCAAGTTAGTTGCTCAAGAGGGTGGAGATCGATGATAAGAAGAGCCTCAAGGGGGTTAATATCCTTAAATAGGGTTTAAGACCCCGCAATTAGGGTTTACACGCTGCACGGTTACGCCCTGCGTAAATTGGGTTAGGCCCCGCATATGGCATAAAATCCTTGTGTCCATTTAATGAGTTACGACATGCATAACTAGCAATCTACCCCACGCGTAAGGCCAAAGTTCTCAAAATAATAAGCTTAAATACATAAAGAAATGTACTTGAGAAACGCGCGTTACAAATTTGCAGTAGTCACGATGTGATCATATGGTGGTCACGACGTGACAATGAGATTTATCTCGATTATTTTGGATTGGCTTGGTTATGACGTGAAAACATGGTCCTCACAAAGTGGCGATGGTTTTTGAGTCATGGTTGAGTTTTCAAATCCGGAGTTTTGGAGTGGTGATGAACTTGTTGGCCATGATGTGACCATGGGTTGGTCACGACGTGAGAATCAGTTTTTTGTATTGTGGTTGTCGACTTTGACTTTGAGCGTTGATTTTCAACATTGGTTAACTTTTGGTCAAACTAAGGGTTTTAGAGTGTAGACTGATAGTGTACTATCTAATCCTGTTAGGTGCCTTGTAGGACCAGTCTCCGTTGGGTAAGAGTTGTGGTGTTTATCTGCTACTTGCAAGGTGAGTCTTCTCATTATACTTGTGTGTGTGGTAGTATATGCATGTTGACCAACTGAGACTTATTTGTCAATTGCTGATACATGTGAACTGATTTGTTGATAACCTCTAAACTAATGTGAGTCCATGAGACTGCTGATAGTCCCCAAGGTTGCTGATAACCTGTGAGGTGTGTTGTTAATCCATAGGGCATGTTGTTGGCCCACTGAGACCGTTGATAGTCCTAACGGTTACTGATAACCCATAGTTGTTTATTAAATTGTGTTGTATGTGATATTTTGGGGAACTCACTTAAGCTTTGTGCTTATAGTTGTGTATTAACTATTTTGCATGTATTTATCAGATTACGAAGACATGACTATACACACACATCAACATTTTTATTATTCAAAATTCCGCGTTGTATTTCTTATAACTCTGACTTCTAAATAATGGTTTATGAGCAAATGGTTTGCTCTGAATGTAATTTTGTAAAAATTTATGTTTTTATTATTTTAAAAATGAAAAAGTTAGCCTGGATTTTAGGATGTTACAGTAGAGGCGTGGAGTTGGTGATGAAGGGGCCTCCTCATGTATCCTTAATGCTCTCGTATAGATGAAGGAGAGAGGATTGGTGTTTATTTATTAATTTTAAATTAAAAAAACTAAATTAAATTAAAAGGGTACAAAAGTCATTTTAATGGGAAAGTGATCAGTAACACAACCGAAACCACAAAGGACCAAACATATAGATATTTGATAGTTGTCCCGAAAGACCTTGTTTTAGCAAACCATAAAAACTAATCACATAAGTTTATACAATATTATACATACTATTAAATTTCATAACGTTGAGGAACAGTAACTTTTATACATTTCGACTTTTGCCACCACTTTTTCAAATATGTGAACTTTGATCCATACCAGAGTATCAGTTTCCCCTGTTAAATTTAATAGTTATGCCGCGTATAACTTCATCTACCCGACCATACCCGCTTTCTTCTCCCCTTTATCATGCTTTCCAGAAACCTCCTCCACCGCCATCTTCTACCGATTGAATTGTCTCTCTACCGACATCAGAACCTACCACCGCCTCTATCTATCTCTCAACATCGCCTAATTATACCTGTTACCAACAACTCAGACCATAAGAACTTGAACATCGCCGGCCGATTTTCGCCGCCAACATCACTGACCATCCTTCCCGACTCATTGGTGCTGCGGCGGCGTATGACGGGTCGATTCTACCACCACCGACGAAGATGCGGGTGGAGGAAGTGTTCGTTCTGATAGAACGGCGCCAATGAGGTAGTGGTGTCTTCAGTTTTCCTATGCCTTCATTTGATAACAACTTTAACAAATATTATGAAGCGCTACAAAGTGATGAAGGTAAGCATCTATTACAGCAATTTGGAAGATTAATCGATGCTATTTCAAAGTGTTTTGTTGGAGAACAGTTAAAGCAAGCATAAAAATAACATCGATTACAATTAAACGACTATTATATGTACATACTCATCAATTGAAAACCATATGATACCTCAATCGACCCTGGTAACATGGTTCTTCATAGATGATTTTTTTTATTTTTTTATTTTGTGGTCATGGAAACTTTTATCTCACACTTTGTAGTGTTCTGTACCTTGTTTTTTTTTTACTTTTGTCTATCTAGACAAAGATGGAAGCTTGGGTTTTCCCAAAGCCTCAATTGTGGGTCCAAATAGTTTACATGTTTCCCGGGAATCAACTAAAGCAGTAACTATTTGGATAATAACCAAGAATTGATTTACAAATCTAGTAGTTTGGCTACTTATTTAACTTTGGGGGTGCATTTTTCTCAATTGGTTTCTAATTTGTTAATGGTGTATAAGCTCCTAAGACATGTTTACTTGGATCATGATCTGAGATAAGTAGTTTCTCTACTAAAGGTGTTAGTTATTTCTACATATACTATGTTTTTGTTTTCATTGTACCATTTTTTTGGTTTGTTTGTTGGTAATGAGCTTATCTCACTTATCAACCCAACATCTTTGAATTTTAGGTAAACATTACACAACTCAGTATGTGATATATTTCTTTAACAATGGCCATTTAAGTATAGGTTGAAAATTTCATTTGCAGATAAGAGTCTGATTTGTAACTTTCCAGTTTTTTTTGTATTTTGAATTTTTAACTTTCCAGCTCTGATTTGTGAACTAAGTTTTTTTTTTTCATCTGTTCTTTTCAGACCAGATAGAATTAGTAGTCGTGTAGGTAACAATGATGACCGTATATGGATTGAAATATGAAATCAGGTGTCTTGAAATTTCTTTCATTTGTAAGTATCCATAGTTTTTTGTTATATTGGCAATGTGGTTCATCTTTGCTTTTCTTTTCCATATTCCACGGTTTGATAGGGAAGCTGATGGATCTTTGAAACCTCCACTTGCCAAATACATGGATACTGGAATGTGATTTGAAAGATTGGTTTCGATTCTTCAGAACAAGCAGCTGGGTAATTAGGACACTGACATCTTTCTAATTCTACCTACTTTTTAATGTTATCTAGAAGGTAATATAAAAACTGCAAGAACACATACAAATTAAATACACTCTTTTACGTATGTTAGTTACAAATTGCAATATACATTATCTGACTTCTATTGGTAAATTAGGGCATATTTAACTGCTTTTGAAATTGTAATTTGTTGGAGCAAACTTAGAACATAAAAGACTATTACTTTTGCAAAAATATACCATTGTCACATGAGGAAATGCAAATACATCAGTTTGATTAGACCAATGGCGTCCAACTTCTTTTTCTACATCTTCTTAACAACACATGTATCTCACAACAAACCTTGGTGAATTTCTCCTAAATCCGATACCACCAGATACATGAGAGTCGTTCTCTTCTTTCCTATAAATTTAGGTGTAATCTTTTTCCATGTAATCATTAAAAATACGAGACATATTCCCACATTTTTGACATATAATCTGTGGAATTCTTTATGTTAATAAGTTTATTCATGTTTTTATCAGACTATACATATTCTCTAACAACAGTCGCTAAACGGAAAATAGATAATAATAAGTAAAAAAGTACACCATTGCATAGCATGGTTTTTTTCCTAGTTATTATAAAAACTCAAACGACATTCACGTAAAACTGTTTTATAAAAATAAATAAATAAATAAAATAAAAATTAAAAACAAATGAAAAATAAGTCATTCTAGCATATTTTATCTTACTTGAGTGGTTATAAGGTATAATCTATTTAGAGAAAAAAAAAATTGGAGTTTCGGTTCTAATAGAGGTGGAGCATGTAATGTTTAAATATGTTAAATATGTATCAAAAAGGCTTATTCGATTTTAATCTATCTCTATACCAAAAAACAAAAAACTAAGATGAACAATACATATTTCTTAAAGTTTATCGGTAGATGTCAATCCTTCGTAAACAATAGTAATATTTTGGATCAAAATTGCTTCTTTTTCGGGTTTTGGCTAATAAAATGAATAAGAAAAAAAAGGTCGTAGTAAAATAACAATTAAGATATGACTATCCTAAATTGTTGCACGAAGGGCCAAGGCCCGGTCCTAAATACTACGAGAAAACTTGTCTATCTAAAGCCCGGTCCAAATAAGGATGTGGACTCTTGTGACCAAAAGTGTGACTTAATAATTATCATATTATACTATAAATATGAATTATTTTTTCTTTCGCAACGTTAATGCCAAACTTTCAATTTTTCATATTTTCATATAATATACTTTCTAACTTAAATATGTTATTAATTATAAATATTATGATAAATAAAATATTTCTTAAATTATTGATAACTTGAATATAGTGTTAAATGTATATCCTAAAGTAATATATCAAACAACTTAAAAATATAGTGTAAAATTTAAAATCTAAAGTAAAATATCAAATAAAATTAAAAACAACTAAATGTATATTTTTTCGAAAAATTAAAAGAAAATATTAAATACAATAAACGTAAAAGAACATAATCTTAAAGTAAAATTAACTAAAGGATCTTTAAAAATTATTTTTATAATAAATGAAATTCAATTAAGTTGTTTTAAAATTAATTTATAATAATAATAGTTAAAATAACCTAAAGTTATAAATTCAATTATGTAACATCATAAACAATGATTGATAATTTAAATAATCATCATGATGAAATTAAAACGTTGTCAATTTTTTAAAGTTAATAAATCATAACATTAGTTAATTAAAATAGATGAGAAATATAACTAATTTTATACACATGTATACCATTAAATGATTCTATTTACTAAGTGTTATATTATCTATTGTTCAAATTAATTATAATGTTATATTAACTAAATATCTGAATGTAATAATAATTATTTTTTAGGTAATATAAATGACATAAAATTTTCAATGACATATGATTACTAAAAGGTTAACTAAATAAATTTATTCTGTGCAAACAGAAAATATTTTTCCTTTCACCACATTCATTTGAAATCCCATTATTTTTTATTTGCTCTCTAATAACAATTATAAGTTGGTTAATACGGTTAAATACATATTTAACCTAAAGTGTAATCATATATAAACTAAATTTCAATATTAAAATAATATATTTATATTTACTTATAAATTTACGTCTTTAACTTTTAACATATTATAATTAATTTATTAGTTTTAAAATGTTGTTGTGTGTAAATCATTATCATTTTTAAAACTATAATTTTTGAACAATTTAGATAAAATACTTAAATTGTTAATTTACATATGATATTAGAGGGTCAACTTAAATATAAATTTTAGTTCAACTTAAACAACCAAAGAATATTTTATAAATAGTTAAATGCAATAATTGGTAGTGTCTTTCTATTAATGATTATAAGTTGGTTAATAAAGTTAAATAAATATCAATAAAGTGTAATCATAAATAAACTAAATTTCAATATTAAATTAATATCTTTACTTCTACTAATAAACTTATATCTTTAATTTTTAACATATTATACTTAATTTAATAGATTTAATATGTTGTTGTATTTAAACCATTAGTAGTTTAAAGCTATAGCTTTTGTACAGCTTGAATAAAACACTTAAATTGTTAATTTAGATATAATATTACATAGTCAACTTAAATATAAACTTTAGTTCCACTTAAAAATAAAAAAAAAAAAATAAAAAATAAATAAAAAAAAAACCCAAAGAATATTTTGTGAATAGCTAAAAATGATAAATTGTAATGCTAAATGAAAAAACTAAATTGTAATATCAATTTAATTAAAATATTTTCTAAAGATATTTTTATAATTATTAAAAAATTTCAAATAAATAGCTTATAATAACGATAGTTAACAATAACACTATATAAATGATTATATTGTTACCTTTAAAAATAATAAACAATGTTTGATGTTTTATATAAATAATTATAATGATAGTAATTAAATATTAAGCTAATATATTTTTAAAAATTGATTAACAATAACAAAAGTCAACAACTATAAATAACATTAAACCATATATATATATATATATATATATATATATATATATATATATATATATATATATATATATCATTCATGAATAACCTGCAGGTAGAGGTCATTCAAATAATTGAGATTATCCAGTTTTAATAGATGTATATATTATCTTATAATTCAAAATAATCAATATATTATATCATTATCATTATCATCATTATCTATATATCTATATATCTTATCAAGCTAGCATTTTTCCTTGAACCTCACGTATTTGAAACCCCCATATATTTTTCTTTCACCATATTCATTTGAAACTCTCATAACTTTTGAGTTTCTTTCTAATAATAATTATAAGTAGGTAAATAAGGTTAAATAAATATCAAACCTAAAGTGTAATCATATATCACTACGAGAAAAACATCCTTTTACAACGTGCATATAATGACACACGCTGATAAAGGACGCGCATTTGTGTGTGCCCTAAAAATTAATGTCAGTTTTCCAAAATTTGAAGGATAGAGCACACGCATTTTGCGCGCCCTAAAATTAGTGTCCAACAAAAAAACACGGAGGGCACCTATCATAAAAGGTGTGTCGTGTAAATGTGTCGCTTTATATTTTTTAGAAAAGCGCGTTCTCGGTTGTTTTAATAATCTATGGTGGGAAATGAAATGCCAAAAAATTAAACAGCCCGCCTGATTACTCTCCTTCTTCTCCTTCTAAAATCCTCTAAAAAAACCCTAATAATCCTTCTTCGCCTGATTCTTCTCCTTCTTCTCCTTCTAAAATCCTCAAACAAAAAACCTTACTAATCCTTTTGAGGCAACCATCTTCCTCTACTTCTGCATTCTCTTTCTCTCTTTCTTTCTCTCTCTCTCTCTCTCTCTCTCTCTCACACACACACACACACTCTATGGAAAACCCTAATCACCCTTCTGGTTTTCTGAACCAGGTTCATCCGCTCTTGCCACCGCTCCTATCGGACCACCACAGTCCCCCATCGGATCATTAAGACAATAGCTACCGATGCACCACTTCACTACCTTTCATTCTTTAAATGTGCGACTGCTCAGTGTAATGGCTTTCTAGGGTTCATTATCCCCCTCCCTTAATGTCTGCGATCGACAATGGAGATGATGGCCACCACTACTACTCCATTACTCATATGTCGATCTTTCTGCATACACATACCTTGTTTACAGAGGGTTTAAGGTTAGTTCTTCAATTCATCATTTTCGTGATCTGTTCATTGTCAATTCAATACACTATCTACTCTATAAAATGTTTAATTGTCTTCCTGTATTATCAATTGTGCAAAAGGTGATGCCCTACAGTACAGGTTGCAAGACTCCATTGTACAATTTCGAGGCTAATTCAAATTACAAGGTTTGAATTGAAGTTCTCATGTTTGCTAATTTCCATTCAAACTATTCTAAACCCTTTTGTATCACCTTTGATTTGTTGAGAGCAGGAAGTACCTGATCCTAAAATAATGGTGACATTTCTAGTTGTTGATGATGAAGATGGTGCTGCATTTGTTGCATGGAAAACCACACCATGGATACTCCCTAGGAATCTTGCACTTTGTGTCAACTCAAATTTTGTATATGTCAAGGTTAGTAGTGTCGAGTTGATCTATACTTCAATTTTGATTTTTGAAGTTAAGTAGATAGTTGATGTTAAGTCTATATACGAAATCAGGTGAAGAGCATATCCATTGGAAAAATCTATGTAGTTGCTGAATCTCGATTATCAGAGCTTCCAGTAGAAAAGGCAAAAAAAGGAAAACCTAATGGAGTTGTGTATGACAAAACCAAGGGATCTAGTTCTAATTGTGGAAAGGCTAAAAACTTTATGGTTGCTTATGAGGTGTTGGATAAATTTCAAGGATCTTCACTTGTGGGTAAAAAGTAAGTGTATGTGTCATTATTTAATTATTTCAAAGAATTCTCAGATGTGGCATTCAGAGTTGTTGCAGATGATTGTGTAACTTCATAGAGTGGAACTGGAATCGTGCACTGTCCTCCAGCATTTGGTGAAGATGATTATCGTGTTTGTTTGGAAAACCAAATCATTCATAAGGTCTGAAATATGTTGATAACATATGCATTGTATCTTTATTTATATCTTTTTTCCTATAACCAAATCATACATGTTCTTCTTTATGCAGGGAGAAAATCTTGTTATGGTAGTTAATGATGATGGATGTTTTACAGAAAGAGTTATTGATTTCATTGGTCGATATGTCAAAGAGGCAGATAAAGATATCATTCAAGCAGTAAAGACAAGAATAGTTAAATGTTAGTATATAATTATTAACAGGGGCATTTATGTAAAATGATTATTCCTTACCTTTTGTTATGGATGTATGCAGGATAAGAGCAGACTGGTCAAATCTGGAAGCTTTACTCATTCATATCCATTTTGTTGGAGATCCGATACTCTTCTCATCTACAGAGCAGTTCCCAGCTGGTACACTTTTTATATTCATCTTTTGTGCAAAAGACATGAATGCCCTTCTCATCCTCATTATCTTTTTGTTCAAGGTTTGTAGTAGTGGAAAAGTTGAAAGATCAATTGCTTGAAAACAATGAGAACATGTATTCTATTTTAGGCTAAACAGAAATAAAGCTGATTGTGAAAAAGACTTAATTGAATAATTGTGTTCCCAAGTATTTATGTTGCTGACCCTTTTCATTTCGTGATCAAATGAAATGAATTTTGTTCAATATATTCTGTTTTTGAACCAAAGATTAGGCTGGAATTTCTTAGATATTCAGTGATAGTAGGCTAGCACATTGAATAATTGTTTAAAAAGACATGATGTATTGTCTAAATTGTTATGGAATTCAAGTTGTGCATAATATCAATTAGTTGTGTCAATCAATATTTTTGGAATTATATCTTGTGTCTTAAAGGTTAAATTCAAGAGTGTTCAAACAGGTTTCTTCTTCATTGCATGAGTAAAGCTTTCCCTGAAATGCCAATTTTTGGGTTGGTTGATTGGTAAGAAGAAAGACTTCTACTTGGATTTTAGAAATTAGAATCATAATCACTTATATGATGAAACCTAAAATCTGTTGATGTTATTTATTTATTTATTTTTATCTTAGGAACCCTGCTGGATTGGCTATTCTTTGCACCTTCAATTATGGAAGTATTGGAATGGGTCTAGAAGCATACAAATATGGTATTATTATTATTATTATTATTATTATTATTATTATTATTATTATTATTCAACGGGTTATTTGGATAAAATTCTTCCTCAATGATATTTCAAGTAAATTACATTTTTTTTGTTCATGAGTTCAATTTTTTTCAGTTTTGGTCCTTAAAGAGGATTGATTGGTGGATTTGGTCCTTATTTGATCATTGAATGGTTAATTTTAACAATTTAGCGACCAAAATGGTTATTAAACATTAAAATATGCACCGGTTTTGAAAACTGATTTTCTTGAGAAGCAAACAAAAAAAGTGTTAAACTTAAAGGATCAAAAATATAAAATTTACTCAGCTTGCAACAATCAAGTGGTTGTTGAGATTAAGGAAAGATGATTTTGAGCTAATACCACAAAAATCCTTCATTCCATTAAAGCCGAAAGATATGCAAATTGCCAAAAGCTTGACTTCTTCACAAATATTACAGGTTCGCTTCTAGAACTCATAGTAATATGCTTGCATTACTATTAACTTTTGTTTAAAAGAATAAAAAAAATCTGAATAGAAAATCATTTTGAATAATCTTTTGTTTGTAATATATATATATATATATATATATATATATATATATATATATATATATATATATATATATATATATATATATATATATATATATATATATATATATATATATATATTCTGGATCGCCTTTCATTCTCTTTTGGTTGTAACAAACATGGGCAACTTGGAACAGGGTCAACCAAAAATGGTGATTTCCTCTGTAGAATTTGAATTATCTCCATGCTTATATTTTGGCTTCGAGAAGATTCTTTCATGCTAACATGTGTTTTTGATTATGTAGAGTTTGAATTATCTCCAGTACGTTGTCTTATAACGCATGTAAAAGATGTTTCATGTGGGGATGATTTTACTATTTGGTTATCTTCCATTGAAGGCGCTTCGATACTGTAAATTGTCAATTTTACCCTCTTCGATTCACACTTGTTAACATGTTTAAATAAAGTTTTTTTTTGTTGGTTTTTAGAACTGTGGGACATCCACAGTATGGTCAACTTGGACATGAAACTGATAATGAGGTATTTTTTGTTACATGTTTATAATGTTGTAGTTTAATTATAATCTTTAATCTTTAATCTTTAATGGATTATGTTTATTATTATGTAGTACAACATGAAGGAAAGCTCTATTAAACTATATTAATTTTGTATCTTAAATATATTGTAGGTGGGGCAATGGAGGATATGGAAGGTGAATAATTTATTTCTTTCATTTAATTCTCAAACGTTTTTTTACCTTTAAAAATTACTCAAATACCCTTTTAGCCTATGCTTTCCTTCTTTTCACGGATTCCATTCCATTTAAAGCCAACCAATTCCAATTCCAATTCCATTTCCATTTCCATTTGTTAATAATTAATATCTAAAATCTTGATAACATAACAGGCTTGGACATAGAGAGCAAAAAGATGAGTTTACCCCTCGTCGTGTTGATGTTTTCACAAAGCATAATACTTTACCACCCACTACCGTTATTTCAGCTGGTTCTGTAAGCTCTGCTTGTACTGTTGGTATGCTTTAAATTTTTTATTGAAAATTTTTATTTATTTTATGAATTCTTTTCGTATTTTAATTTTGAATCACTTTTTATTTTGGTAATCCTGGTGCAGGGCAGATGTACATCTGGGGTAAAATAAAGCTTACTGGTGATAACTGGATGTACCCTAAACCACTCATAGATCTCATGTTTTCACTTTTCACCTTCTTCTTTAAATGATATTTTTTTGCATTTAATTTTTTATTTTAAATAAATACACATCTAAATAATCATCTGTATGTTGTAATGTTGCAGTGGTTGGAACATATGTTGCATGGATTCAGGGAATATGCATTATTTTGTTGGTGATGGTGTTTTAGTAGAAAAAAAAAAAGCATGCAAAACTGAAATATGATATCTCATGTCTTGACATAAACCCCATTGGTGAAAATCCAAATTATAGTAATCTTGCTGCAGTTGGGATGTGGACTGATATTTAATTACAGATACCTTACATGTTGTGCCTTTGAAGGGATATGATTCTCATCACATCACTGAAGAACATCTAGGTAGCAAAATAATATCACGTTTTGTTCTTCTTTGTGCCTTTGAAGGGGTATGATTCTCATCTCATCTTCATCTTTATCTTCGTCTATAAGGGTAAATTTGTAAAAAGTGTTTAATGTTTAATTACAGATACCTTACTTGTTGTGTGCACTTGGGGATGGATATCTTTTGAACTTTTTACTCAACACAAGCATAGGGAAATTAACAGACAGGAAAAAGATGTCACTTGGGAAAAAATTAAGAATGTTGAAGCTGGTGAGTGAATTTTTTGTAAAAAATCTAAGTATTATATAATACAATTTTATCTAAATTCTTTGAATTATAAGAATAAATAGTAATTAAAAAATTATAATATATGTTTTCACAGGCTGCAAGAGATGTTGGAGCCCTTAGAGAACCTAAGGACAAACTGGAAAAGTGAGTTGAAGAGCTGACATGGAGATTAGACTTTGAATATCTCCCATTTGAGGGTATATTTTTTTATGTCTTATATATAATTATTTGTAAATTTTTGTTGCAACTATTGATTTGTTTTATCTTTCCATGGAACGATTATTTGTACGACATTAAATTTTATACAATGGATTGTATTTTTTGTATATGATATTTTATTTTCTATTATGAGACATTAAATACAAATTTAATTTGAAAATCAGTAAATCTATAAATAATATATTTTTTTTAAACATTTAAAATTATGATACGCAAAAATGTGTGTCATCTTCATTTATGACATGGCCTTTCTTGACAGGGGATTTCTTGATACGCATTGTGTGTCATTAACACGTGCATCGTAAGGTTACGACACGCAAATGCGTGACGTCTTCCTTTATGACATGGCCTTCCTTGATACGCATTGCGTATCGTAAACACGCGTCATAATTGTGCGTCGTAAATGAGCGTCATAAATGCGCGTCATCTCTCTTTATGACATGGCCTTCCTTGACGCGCATTTGCGCGTCGTCTGAGCCTTTTACGACACGCAATGAGTGTTATAAAAGGCTGTTTTTCTAGTAGTGTATAAACTAAATGTTAATATTAAAATAATATATTTACTTCTACTTATAAAGTTATGTTTTTAACTTTTAACATATTATACTTAATTTATTAGTTTTAATATATTCTTGGATGTAAACGGTTATCATTTTAAAGATAAAATTTTGGAACAATTTGTATAAAATAGTTAAATTATTAATTTAAATATAACATTACAGGGTCAACTTAAATATAAATTTTAGTTCGCCATAAACAACCCAACAAATATTTTGTAAATAGTTAAAAATGATAATTTGTAGTGTCTTTCTAATAATATAAGTTGGTTAATAAGGTTAAATAAATATCAAACCTAAAGTATAATCATAAATAAACTAAATTTCAATTTTAAAATAATATATTTACTTCTACTTATAAAGTTATGTCTTTAAATTTTTACATATTATATTTAATTTATTAGATTTAAAATTTTGTTGTATGTAAACCATTATCAGTTTAAAGCTACAACTTTTGAACAATTTAGAAAAAAAATCTTAAACTGTTAATTTAAATATAATATTACAGTGTCAACTTAAATATAAATTTCAGTTCTACTTAAAAAACCAATGAAGATTTTGTAAATAGTTAAAAATCAAGGTCTTGCTATAAGTTTGGCAAGGAGGGGCATATGGCTAAGGATTGCCCCAAGGAATTTGCAGTGTGCTTCCACTGCAACCAGACCGGCCATCGGAAGGCCGAGTGTCCACGACTGCGGGGGTCGGCACAGGGAGAACCATAGGGATCTGCCCTTGCTGCCTTACGAGCTACTGAGATTCGGCTAATGAAGGCCGAGACACCGAAGGCTCGTGGGAGAGCCTTCCAGTTGACAGCGGAGGAGGTACACTCAACGCCCGACGTCATGGCTGGTATGTATTCTTTCATCTATTTATTTCGAGTTGAGATATTGTGCTTATATTATGGTATGCGTAGGTAATTTTCTTATGAATTCTATACATGCTCTGGTGTTATTTGACTCGGGTGCGAGTCTATCTTTCGTATCATTAGCATTTAGTAAGCACATCAGTATCCTACGAGAGGCATTGAGTCGACCTCTACGAGTTTCTATAGCTGACGAGCGAGCAGTATATGCGACTAATGTGATTTGAGGATGTGTACTTGAGATCTTCGGTGTTGAGTTCCCAATAGATCTAGTACCGATTGCGATGGGAGATGTTTGTGTTATCGTGCGCATGGATTGGTTGAGCCAGTTCAGGATGTTATAGATTGCGAGCGTCAATTGGTGACTATACGAGACCCTAGTGGGGGAGTGCTCATAGTGTACAGAGAAGGTACTAGGACTGGATCAGCTTTCTGCTCTGCTGCTCGAGCGACGCAGAGTTTACAGCAGGGTTGTATGGGTTTCTTGGCGTATGTCATGGATACGCGGGTTGGTGGTGATAGACCGAGTTCTGTGTCAGAGGTGCCAATAGTGTGTGAGTTCGCAGATGTTTTGCCTGAGAAATTTCCGGGTATGTCTCCTGAGAGGCAAGTGGAGTTTCAGATTGACCTAATGTCGGGTGCGGCACCGATAGCCAAGGCACCCTATCGCCTTGCGCGGCCAGAGATGCAGGAGTTGTCCTCGCAGCTTCAGGAGCTGCTGGGGAAGGGGTTTATTCGGCCGAGTAGCTAGCAGTGGGGAGCGTCGGTCCTTATTGTCAAGAAAAAGGATTGCTCACACTGTATGTGCATTGATTACCGGGAGTTGAACAAGTTAACGGTCAAGAACTGTTACCCCTTACCGAGGATCGATGATCTGTTCGATTAGTTGCAGGGAGCATCTTGGTTCTCCAAGATTGATTTGAGGTCTGGATATCATCAGATGAGAGTGCATGATGAGGATATCCAGAAGACGGCATTCAGGACTCGTTATGGGCATTTACGAGTTCGTGGTGATGCCTTTTGGGCTCACCAACGCATCGGCAGCCTTCATGGATCTCATGAAGAGGGTGTGCAAGCCGATGTTTGATCGCTCGGTGATCATGTTTATTGATGATATCATGGTTTATTTGAGATCTAGAGAGCAGCATGAGGAGCATCTGAGGGAGATCCTCGGAGTTCTGAGATTGAAGAGACTATATGCCAAATTCTCCAAGTGTGATTTCTGGTTACGAGAGGTCCAGTTCTTAGGGCATCTCGTCAACCAGAATGGGATATTGGTAAACCCAGCCAAGATTAAGGCTGTGATGAGATGGGAGGTGTTGAGGTCCCCCACAGAGATCAGGAATTTTCTAGGGTTGGTCGACTATTACCGAAGGTTTTTCAGGGATTTCTCCAAAATTGTTGTTCCTTTCACCAGGTTGACCCGGATGGGCGTGAATTTTAGTTGGGGTCCTGAGCAGCAGGCCTCATTCGAGACACTTCGCCAGAGATTATGTGAAGCCCGGTGTTAGCCCCTCTGGAGGGTATGGAAGATTTTGTGGTATATTGTGATGCATCGATATCAGGGTTGGGTGCGGTGCTGATGCAGAGAGGGCACGTGATAACATATGCATCGAGGCAGCTGAAGCTTCATGAGATGAGGTATCCCACCCATGATATGGAGTTGGGGCAGTGGTGTTCTCCCTCAAGATTTGGCGTCGCTATTTGTATGGGGTTCGGTGTAGTATATACACGGACCACAAGAGTTTGAAGTATTCGATGGATCAGCCCAACCGGAATATGCGCCAGAGGAGATGGTTGGATGTGGTAAAGGATTACGATTGTGAGATCCTATATCACCTGGGCAAAGCTAATGTTGTAGCTGATACTCTGAGCCGTAGGGCAAAGAGTGCCTGATTCGAGACATTTGTATGTGGTTTACAAGCATGATGCCGGTGTTGGACACCATTCGGGAGGCCTAGGCAGAGGCTGTGTTACCGGAGAACCGCAAGAGAGAGCGGGTGATCGGGTAGATACCTAAGTTTGTTACCGATAGCCAAGGGATTTTGACCTTTCAGGGTCGGATTTGGGTGCTGCTTGGAGGTGGGGCACATATCATTTTTATGGATGAGGCGCATAGATCGAGGTTCTCGATCCATCCCGGGGCCACTAAGATGTATATGGACTTGAAGAGAGAGTACTGGTGGCCCTGTATGAAGAGGGATGTAGCGTGGTTTGTTGAGAGGTGCTTGACCTGTCGCAGGGTTACGGTCGAGCACTAGCGTTCGCATGGCAAGTTGCAACCACTTGAGGTTCCCCAATGGAATTGGGAACAAATTTCTATGGATTTTATCACCAAATTGTCGAGGACTGCGAGGGGTGTCGATGCAATTTGGGTGATCGTCGACTGGCTGACGAAGAGGGCTCACTTTCTTGCTATCAGTGAGAGCTCTTCTGCTGAGAGGCTGGCAGAGTTGTAGAGAGGTGGTGTTGCGGCACGAGTCTGCATTTCAGTATTGCTTATCACCCACAGACGGATGGACAGATTGAGCGGACGATTCAGACGCTCGAGGACATGCTCCGAGCATGTGTGTTGGACTTCGGAGGATGTTGGGACACGTGCTTGCTGTTGGCTGAGTTTTTAATAACAACAGCCACCATTCGAGCATTGGTACGCCTCCCTTCGAGTTGTTGTATGGGAGGAAGTGTCAGACTCCCATCTGATATGGAGAGGTAGGGCAGCGAGTGATGGGCAACACTGAGATAGTGCTTCAGACGACAAAGCAGATACAACAGGTCAGACAGAGGTTGTTGGCAGCTCAGAGTCGCCAGAAGAGTTATGCGGATAGGAGACGATGCGAGCTTGAGTTTCAAGTGGGAGACTTCGTAATCCTGAAGGTATCTCCTTGGTAAGGAGTGATTCGATTCTGGAGAAGGGCAAGTTGGGGCCCCGGTACATTGGACCATTCAGGGTAACCGCGAGGGTGGTCCGGGTAGCATATCGATTAGAGCTACCCGCAGAGTAGAGCCAGATACATAATACCTTCCACGTGTCTCAGTTAAGGAAGTATATCGCCGATCAGATGACAGTGGTTCCCCTAGAGGATATTCAGGTGGATGCGAGCCTGAATTATGCTGAGAGGCCAATCTCGATTGTGGATCGAAAGATCAAGGTTCTAAGGAACAAGAAGGTGTCCCTGGTTCAGGTCCAGTGGCAACATTGGAGAGGGTCCGAGCTGAATTGAGAGCCGGAGTCGGAGATGCGGAAGCAGCTTCCAGGGTTGTTTGCGGCATAAAACTTCGAGGGCGAAGACTGGTTCTAGTGGGGGAGAATTGTAACATCCCAAAATTCAGGTATAATCATTTAACCCTTATTCCTTTTCAACTTGTCAAGATGAATCCCTAAAGGAAAATTATAGTCGTTGAGTACGCTGGTGTACTGAAGAGTACATCGCGCGTACTCATGCGCTTAGTTTGGATGCAGACTCGCCTAGGTACACTGAGCGTACCCAGGGTTACGTTGGGCGTAGC